TACTGAGTAAGAGTCCTTATGATGGTAACCCTACTATGTTGACTGGAGATCTCAAGATCTTGGTTCAAAGGGACAACTAAGCTATGGGGATTCTATGAAACACTTAGGAAACTAATTTCCTAACTCATTCCTATGATACCAAAGTGTCTTCTGCAGAGTGATTTGAGGTTAAGATAAACTTTTAATGATTCCTATATCTTGATTAAGTCAAGTGGAGTAGGGCAGAATACTCTTAACAGGAGATCACCTATGTAAGTGTGAAGTGGGGCCGCTTCAATGAGAATTATTCAAGGCTTGAATTCTCTAAACACTTATAGAACCAAGATGGATTCAGGGCCAAAATGAACCAAGTCATGAGAACCATGAACGGTTTATGGGAGACATTGTGTGAGTACTGTTGTCTTGGTTTATACTAACGGCTGATGGTTCAAGAACATCGCGTTCATCAATTAGCTAGTAAATCCGATGGTATTTCACTAAGGAAGGTTCAAAGCCAGAAGCTACCTTACCTGATGCAGTGTTTTTCCGCTCTCTCTCTACTAGTGTCTACATAGACATTTGCATTAATTTTCATTCATGTGGGGGATTGTTGGAATTTTGTATGTAAAATTGGTTTACATAATTATTTAAGTGAAATTCTTAATTTGGTGAATGAGAAATTAAGCCAAATATAAAGTCGTTTAATACTTGAAATTATTGAAAAATCGTATAGAATATTATGAAATATTCTAGAAATATGTGGATGAAAAGTGTGTCTTTTCATGTAAAAGATCATGACTCTTGGTATGGGTATGATTAATATCTAATAATTATGAATTTCAAGAGATGTGTCTCTTGGTATAGTTGTGTCTTTTGACATACCTTTCCAACTACTATATATATAGACCGCATGTGTTTGAATTTTATTCATTCAAGAAAAGTCATAGATACTATATCATTTCATTCCAATTTACACTTTGATTTTGTATAAAACATTTGCATCAAAATCATGATCATGGTCATGGTCACGGTAGAGAGGGAATTCCATTCGAATTCGCTGATCGAAGTCATTTAAAGTGCTCCTATGGCTCGACGTGGTCGTTGTATCTTGCGAAATGATTGTCGGAGAACCGTTAGCACCGATGTGGGGCAAATTCATCTTAAGGACAAAGTGTCCACCACTTGCCTCGACCAAAAATCCGTCATTTGCACCTTCTTTCTTCATTTTCTGATTTCCTTTTATTATGATTTGATTTCAGAAAATGATTAATCTAATTTATATATTTATATTGCAAGGTTCAATCGTTCAAGAATCGAAAGAGAAGGTTCCACATTCATATTCTTCGGAATCAGTAAATTCTCATTTTGCCTTATTAAATCCAATTTCAGTAAGATGGAATACGTTTCGATTTCATGCAAATAAACGATATGTTTATTGTGAATATAACATGCGCAATTATCGGTTTAATTTTCCAACAATGTTTGCAGAATAAGGAGAAAGGTTTTTCTTTCCGATTTTGAAATTGAAAATGAATTAGGTGTTTAGTTCAAAATATTATGTGTGAAGTATAGTTTTCAAAAGCTCACTGAAAACCAGAGAACCCTCACAACTATCATCATTCAAATCAAAAAAATTCTCCAATCTATGTGCCAAAATCCAAGGGACCATAGTAGAAATTATAATATAAATTTGAAAATTCTTCCACTTTTGAATTGAAAGGGGGTAACAATGGTTTCATCGTGTAAAATAACTTATGCCATCTATTTCGCAAACAATAATCAGTCTCTATAAGGAAGGTGACTTTACGGAAGTGGAAGCGTAAAACAATGAACAAACACATAATCCAAGTCTAAATAATTCCAAATAAATATTGCAATATAGCTAGGGATGTCAAACGGGTCGAGCGGCTCGTCAGCTCGGTCGCTTGGCTCATTAAAACTCGGCTTGTGGGCGGCTCGGGCTTGTCCAAAAAATTGAAATTTTTAAAAAAAAATGTGCAAAAAATAAATAAAAAAATACACGAGCTTGCCAACGGCTCGTGGGCTTGGCTTGGCTCGGCCCACGAGTAACGAGCCGAAGGGCCGAGCCAGCTCGGCTCAACCCATTGCCATCATTAAATATAGCCCTCGGCACCCATTTTCATTCTTTTTCTCTCTCTTATTTTCAACCACACAATTTTATCAAAAACTTTTCATTCTTTTTCAACCACACATTTTTCAAAAAATACTATTCCAATCATTAAAATTTGGCAATAATGGGGGCCAAACGAGGACATAATTTCTGATGAATCTTAAGAATATCAAAAGTTGGGCACCATAAATGCATTCATTCACACACGAATATTAAGTTTGTGTTTGAGCCACATTATTTTAAAAGAATGTATTTTGAAATAGTAGATTGATGGAAAATGTGTGGTTAAAAAATGAGAACTTTTTTTATTTGTGTGTAATATTATTTTATTGAAGAGTGCTAGTAGACATAAATCTTAACATTTTAATAAGTATTAGTTAAAATGTCGATAAAATGTTTAACACTATTGCTTGTTAAACGCTTTCAATTAATTTAATTGAAAACAAAATACTTTCCATTTCTGTATAAAAAATGTTATTACGCATCATGTCAATATTATAGTTCTTCCTTTTATAATTGGCTTATGATTAGAGCCTAACCTTTTCGTCTAATTATTTTGATAATGCAGTATATGTAAAATTGATTCATCACAATGCACTAAGATGAAAAGCAAAAAAATGTTGAGAATAAATGTGTAATTTGAACTCTTAACCCAAATGTGTGATATTTTTTAACGATAGAGAAATGAGTGTCAATTTGATTGGACAATTCTTTCAGCATTAGAAGGGGAATTAAGAAATTGAAAATAATTTATAAATGCTTATTATATAAATTCTCGCAAACGATAATTCGAATAAAAAGTTTTCAAGATAATTTATCTAGATGCATTTACTAACCAAAGAGATCAACACTATCTCACGTACCAGTTTTAAATGCTCTAGACTGAATTGATGTCCTAGGAAGACAATTTATTAGCATTATATTTGATATATCTATGACATGCATGAAGCGTGATGGTATTCGATTCTAATATGAAAATCTCTGAATGAAAATGGAGCAATTAGTAAAAATGATCTCATTAATGAAACATGTATTGTTGACGACTATTTAGACATAACAAATTATAAAATTTTAGAAGAGGTTTAGGTATCTGATATGTTGAAAATTGAGATATATCAATAAGTTATGTTATAAAGAAAGAAATATAATCAAAAAGAAAAAGTTGTCAACAACACTTTTGCACATGATGTACTACATCATATATGAATAGCAAGGAATTGAAATAAATTCATTGAAGTATGTCTATAAATAAACAATTGGTCAAATAAATGGATGTAATCCTAACAAATTGAATTTACTAGAGAAACCTGAAATTTTTGGATGAGATCCTAGTAAAATCAAACTTACTAGAGAAACTCAAAATTTTTGGATGTACAATCTGAGCATCTAAAGATGTATAATTATACGAAATGAAAATGAAAAAGGTAAAGTCATAATATGAAACGACTCTTTATATAATGAATTTCGTGAAAACTTATATAAATAAATAAATTATTATGTGGTGGATGTAATCACAAGTCTTTATTTTATTACTCCGACAATGTATGGAATTTGATATACATATCCTAATTTGATTATAGCCAACTCATCTAACATGTCTATTAATGTTACCTTAAAATATTCAATGTGTCTGAAGCATGTAATACAAGTAATATTATCTTAAGGGGAAATAAATACACATTATATTCTATTCCCTTTAACTAAGGTTTTTTGTCATACTGAATTTTTCTGACAACGTTTTTAATGAGATAATTTTTATAGTGTTCTCAAAAGAATGATGCACTCTTTTTTCTTAATTAGAATTTTTCCCGCGAAATTTTTCTTAATATGATTTTAATGAGATATATTCCTTGTGTAATAAATGTCCATAACCTAACAAACACTTAACCTCAAAATAATACTCCGATATATGTGATATTCTTGAAGAGATCAATAAGAGATTTTTTTAAATCATCATATTACTGCAGTTACCAAGTTTTATCCATCTAGATTTTCTTGAAGACATCGGCGTATAAGATATCAATATTAAAGACATTAACATATAAAATATGGATTGCTGGATACAAGAATTGAAATCAGGGGAGTAGTTGTACTCTTTTTTCTTCAATCAAGTTTTGTCTCACTGAATTTTTTTCACAAGATTTAAACGAGTCAGCATTTTATTACTCCAAATTATTTATATTTTTTTCATTTTGTTGACATTTTTGTCCCATCGATTTTTTTTTGCTAAACGTTGTTTCAATGAAATAGTTATTATGTAAATAGTCATTCAAGGGGGTTTGCTATAAATATAGTAGGATTTATGAATGGCTTTTATACCCTTGCAGTCATTTTAATTGTCGTATCCCTAATAACCCTAATTCTTCCCTATAAATATGAAACTTTAATTTTTAATAAAATACACAAATTTATTAAGTTCTCTCTTTTATTTTCCCTAATTTATAACAGAAAGACAATAATAACAAATAAGAGATTACCTCTCACGAAAAGGATCACCAACAATTACACTTGTGAGAACTTGTAACATTACTAGAAAGGCGTAGCGAGTGCAAGCTACAATGATTGTGTAACTCGTGTTGCAAAGTTTTGGTCAATGAGCTTACACGTTTATGTAATTTATCACGTGTTAATATCATCGATAGCAAATTTAGTAGCAATATCGAGAAATTTTAATAACGTAATATTTAAATTTAATTTTTCTATATTTACAACTTACAAATCTTGAATAGGTCATACAATTGATTGATTGAATAAGTCCATCTTTACTATTTTCATCTATCCAGAAGAATGCTCTTCGATTGACTATTGTGCCAAACGCAGAAATATATGTCAATATAAAATTTTAAATCGAAATAGGTAATAACGTAAAAGCAAATAAGAACAAAAAAAATTAAACAAAACCATAATATAATCGTCGATCTTTACTCAATAAATTATATAAAAAAAATGTTTATATTTTCACAGAGACGGATAAGCATGATAAAATCAAAGTGAAAGTATCATAATCAATCAAACAGAAAGGAACAAACCCTAGAAGCATACACCGGGGCTTTAAATCAGGGTTTGTTAGTGGTTTTTTGGTATTTTTGTTTGATCCACTGCAGGCCTACAGAGGTTCCTTCTTTAACCTTCTTCACGCCAGTGGAAGCCACTGCTTTGGTTTTTCCAAGGCCTTCACCGACCTTCTTTCCGTACTTAGCCGCCGTAGCTCCGCCGCCGGTGGTTTTCTTTTTCTCCGGTAAGCTGTCCGGCCCGTTGTCCCATTGATCAGCCCATGAGTCGCCGTTCATTTTTGAACGAGATTAGAATTCCAGAGAGAGATTTGTTGTGTTTATTCCAAGGATTTGGATTGGGGTTTTGGAATTTGGATGAATGCCGAATGTGAAAAGGATATGGTCCAACCTAAATATATATAGGGGAAATTGCATGTGAGCACGCGTTGCGATTCCATATTTTGTCGTTCATATTGAGTTGAAAGACAAAAATGCCCTCCTTTCTTATATTAAAAATTAAAACAAAAATATATGCACAATACATTGACAAAAGGGAATACAATAAATCAGCAAGCACGAGAAAAATTTAATAGAATTTATACTGACGTTGATGTGACAAAATGTAAGTGGATTTTTTTTTTCTTTCTTTCTTTCTCATCTTCCCACATTGTCGTGCCACATGTTATTTATAAGGTTTTTTTGTCAAAAAATTCTTTACTTGTAATATAATGTGACAAAATGTAAGGGAATATAGAGCTTTTCTTTATTTTAAAGCATTCTAACAGAATGTTTGGACAAAACCGTTAAAAAAGAAAAAGAAAAAAAGATATGCAATTTAAGTAAAGATTGAAGATAAGAATCTGACAAAAAACATTATGATCATATATGCTACCATTGGCGAAGATTGGAGACCTTTATTCCAATTAAACTGATATGAAAATAAAATTTGGATGTGAATAGAAGCACCAAGATAATAGAAGAGAATGTTGATATTATTTGAAGTCATTATATTCTAATGACTGCTTGCCTAAAATATAAATAGTTTTTGAGAAAAAAACTAATATGTCAAAAAAGTGATGGCAAGATTTTTTGTTACGAATCTCATCAATATTTCAATATGTGCGTTGTTGAAAAAGAAATACGTTTCATTAAATATGAAAATGAAAAATGTTGAATTGAGAATAAGAGAGTTCACCGTACTTCATCCCAAGTCAGAGAGAAAATTTAATCCTTTATCGACTGAATATTATTGAGTTCTATTACAAGAACTTGTTATAAATTTGAAAGTTTGTATCATTTAGTCTTGAAAAAAAATATTATAAACACACATTAAGGCCTTGTTTAAGTCTCGTTATTTCCTCATTAAAATAAAAAATATAATTGTTAGCCATAATATCAAGTTATTATATTTGACTTTTTATTTTTTGTGTGGGACTTATAACGACTATATTTTTCATTCTCATTTTAACAATAATATGGCTCAAATGGGGGCTAAAAGAGATTAATAACTTTATTTTACTTTTACTTTTTAACCACACTTTCCATAAACAATTAAAAAAAAAAAATATTTTTCACTTAAAACAATCTTCTCCAAACAAACACTTAAACACGACCGAACACAAAATTCACAAGTCACCTCTACTTGGTATGGATAGTAAGCGTGTGTGTCGTCAGCAAATAAAGAACTTTTGACCGCTACTTCGTGGTCCTCGTGTCTCATTGGAAGATTTTTCATCTTGTTGACATTTAGATCCTCTCTGACGGCTTGACCTATTTTATTGTCAGCATTTACTTTCTTTTGATTGGATTAGAACTTTGACTTGGCCATGTGGTTCGGTTAAACCTAAACTAGGATGCATCCCGTTCATATAAAAGCCTATTTGAGTCTCATTTTCTTTTAAATTCATTTTTAATAATACATTCTTTCAATAAAATAATTTTATACAGAAAATTAATTTTTCTTTGCTTTCTAGCCACATATTCTCCATTACAAAATATGATAATTACAGTAGAGACCCCAAACCTTTAATTTGTAACAATCATCGCCGCAAACCTTTCGAAACGTTGGGACGGAGCTCTTTTGAATGGTTTTCATCCAAATACATGTTAGTTGACTCAGAAATTTGGCTATGACCCTATTTTTAATATTTTTGAAAGGATAAAATGGTAACTTTTCATTTATTACATTAAAACCCTATTTGAGTCATATTATTTTCTCTTTAAAATGAAAAATATAACTGTTATTCATCACATCAAGTCATCGTATTTGACTTTTTATCTCTTATGTGGAACCCATAATCACTATTTTTTCATTCTCATTTTTACAATAATGTGGCTCAAACGAGGGGCTAAAATAAGTTAGAAATTAAATTAGAAAAAATAAGAAATAAGAAATAAAAAAAAAAAAAAAAAACCAACAGTCTTCTTCCTCTCACCTCCAACCCCCCCAAAATCAGTTACCTGATCACCGTCACCGTCACCGCCACCGCCACCGCCACCGCCACCTCCACCTCTATCCCCTGCCATAAAAACTCAAATCAAAATATGACCCATAGAAATATGAACCCTAAAAACACAATTTGACTGGAGAAAAGAAATCGGGCATGACAACTAGTCAATAAACCCAAAATAAGCAATTTCTAAACCAATTTGAGTTGCAAATTGCAACCAATTTAAGAGTCGAAAATGTAAAGGGGCAAAAAAGAATGACTTTTGAAGCTTTTACTCTTCCAATCTCATCAGCATTGATGAGTACAAACTCATTTTCTGTTGTGTGAACCAGCCACAAGCGTTCCTTTGGTACCCATCTGAAGAAAACTTTAAAACTCTCTCCTTTTGCGCATCACACAGTGATACATGATTACGGCACCTCTACAATTGAGAAAAAGAAAGCAAAAATAAAAATAACTCAATACAAAGTTACTTTGGTTTCTTTGTCTTCATGTGATGCGAAATGGTCCCCCGCATATTTTGATTTGGGTAATTTCCCTAGTGGGTTGCATTTTGGTTTCTTTGTCCTCATATTTCTATAGGTTACATTTTGATTTGGGCTTTTATGGTTGGGGATGTAGGTGGCGATGACATTAGCAGTGACGGGCTAATTGATTTTGGGTTTGGGATGGGGGTGAAAGGAAGAAGACGATTGATTTTTTTTTTTATTTCTTATTTTTTCTAATTTAATTTTTAATTTATTTTAATGTCATAAATGGAAAGTTAATATTTTATCTTTTCAAAAATATTAAAAATATGGTCAAAGTCAAATTTCTTAGTCAACTAACGGACAATTGGATGAAAAACGTCCAAAAGGGCCTCTGCTGCAACATTTCGAAATGTTTGAGGTGACGGTTGCAACAAATTAAAGATTTTGAAAAAGTTTACTAATGTTTTAAAGGTTTTGAGGTTACTGCTGCAATTATCTCTTACAATTTATTTATTTTCCTAAAAGCTAAGGCTCTAACAAACACTAAATTTTACAAATGATTATACATGTCCATTTAATTCTTGATTTCAACAAATCTTTAAATAACTCCAGGTGTCATTGTCATCAACGAGGCTAAAATAAATGTGATGTGGTTAACCATGACAACTTTAAAGCTTTAGATACGACCAGTTGATAATATAGGGATCCAGAGTCATAGAATGTAATGGGTAAAGACACTCCCAAGACTAGGCAGCAGATCCAACCATGAGTTTGGATACAGATTGCAATACAAATGTACACAAATTTATCTAAAAAATAAAAAATTGTAAGACGATTGGGTTGTCTCACTATTTCTGGCATGTTGGGCTGATTAAATTTTTAAGATAACTCTGGCCCAATTATAAAAAGCATTTTTGGTTTCACGTTTTTGCCTCTATAGCGGGCTGTGATCTACCGTACATGTGGATTAATTAAAATCCTAGATTTGAACTGGTTCATATGGATAGATATTATATTTGATCATTTCATTTTCTTGGGGTCACTTACTGTATTGTTGTTCTTTCGAAAGTTCTTTTTATCTGTGTGAGCTAGGCTTTCTCTGAAAATTTGTAACTTTCCGTCTTTGTGATGTAATCTCTATTTTTTAGGTGAGATTGAGGGTTGTTTAGCACAATCAGTGAAAGATATCTGAGAGTTGCTTTGGTTACTGATTTGAGTATAAGGATGTTAGAAAGAACTTGAAGAAATCCTGATTTTTTCATACATTTGTATGATTTCTTAGTAGATGTGGAGTTGTATTTCTTGGCAGATGCTCAAGAGGTAAGTAGGTTATTGACTGAAAACCCGAACCTTTTTTCAGTGAAAAATCCTTGTGTTCTTGTTTTTAAATTTTTGCAATTTTGTTTTTCATTAAATAATCACTATGCTCTGGGACCAACAACAATAAAAAACTAAAAACAAAGTGGTCATTTACAAGGGTGGATACGGGTTGTAGTCTGGTCGAGCTCATGCCTATATCCATCCCTAGCAAGAGGAGCTACATGCTCGAAGAAGAATTATTCTTGGGGTACATAAACAAGTACATAAGGGTGTTCAAAATGGATACAAATAGGGGGCGCTATTCTGGACACCCTTGTGTACCCCAAGGATAACCCCTCTAAGAATTTTTACCCTCGCCTTCGTGTGTAAACTGCCAACACAAAGCAAGGTATTATATTTCTAGAACTAAAAAGTTACCGGATCTAAGAGTGACAACTACGTGGTTCAAGAAGCATGGCCCCTCTAAGAGACGACAAATTGTGATAGCTTGCTTATAAAACAAGATTTTATACTTAAATTACAAGCTTTGTTGACTGAAGAATAACTTGGCGAAAAGTAGAAAAACAATGGTGGAGGAAGGAAAAGTAAAGTCTTTGTTTGAACAAAATGTGGATTGAAAATTATCTGATAAAATTGAAAGAGAATTTGAGAAGGGGTAATTAGCACAATACATCCATACTTTTCAATGTTATTGTACAAAACATCTCTATATTTCATTTTTGACATTTTCACCTCTACCTTCCACCTTTCATTGCACAAAAGGTCATTTTCATCCATTTTTGACGATTTTACCCTTCTATTTAAATAAAACAAAAAACAAAAGAAAAGAAAAAAATGAACTAATTGCAACCAAAATCCCAAATTTTCAAAAAAAAATAAAAATAAAATTACAAATAAGTTAAAAATATTTTCTTAAAAAAAAAAAAAAACCTATATCCTTAACCCACCAAATTTGAGAGCATTGAAATTTTGATAAATTTCAATAAATTATATATGTGATCTATGATTCTATATGTAAAAGAAAAATGTTTTTTCAAGCAACGAAAATCAACATAAAAAAACCCAAAAACCAGGAGAAAAATTAGTGGGTTTTGCTTATTTTGAGTGAAATGAAAACAATTTATAGCTATGACAATGTCAATAGCTTCTCTCTGAATGTCCTTTTTTATGTCTACGCTCTTTGTGATGACTTTCTTGCCGGAGGTGGTAGATCCGGTTGAGGACTTCTGGTCTTCTGAGGATGTCGGCGATGGAGCCACTAGTTCTCCGCCGTCGCTTCTTTCTTGACTCTTCGCTCATTTACTTTAATTTACTTGGTTTCTGATTCCAAAATTTTGAATTTTAGGATTATTGGTAACTTCGATGAAGAGAAAAAAGATAGGCGACAACAATGTATGTGTGTGGTCTTTTAAATTTGTAAATGTTTTATAAAATTATTCGAAATTCTGATGTCAGGCAACAATAAAGGTCTTTTTTATTCTTTATTTTTTTTTATTTTTAAGAATATATTTTTAATTCATTTGTAGTTTTTTGAAATTTTGGTACTTTGGTTGCACTTAGTTCGTTGTTTTTTTCTTTTCTTTTGTTTTATTTAAATAGAATGGTAAAATCGTTAAAAATAGATGAAAATGACATGTTGCGCAATGAAAGGTGGAAGGTATGGGTGAAAATGCTTAAAAAAATAAAGGATAGAAACGTTTTGCACAATAACATTGAAATGTAGGATCATTTTGTTCCAATTACCTATTTGAGAAACAACTAAAATTTGCTGATTTAGTTGGTCGAGAAATACGGCCAAAACCAAAATGAGTGCAAATAAAAATAAAAAAAATAAAAGCTAACAAATATCGAAATTTCCAACCTTTTTTAAACGATGCCACCCAAAAATGATAAAAAGACCAAAAGAAACTCCCAAGAATGTCCTTAAGGAGGAGTGTAATTCCCATTTTCACCACTCTTTTAAGAAAACGTTCAAAAAATCTTAATCATGACACAATTAAAAGACATTTCTAATGTAACTAACTACCACACAAAAATCGTATCTTCTTTTAAACTATGAGTATGTTTTATATAGATTTTTTGAGAATAGATTTTATGAAAATTATTATTATTATTATTATTTTTTTTTTTTATATAAGTTTTTTGAGAATAGATTTTATGAAAATTATTATTATTATTATTATTTTAAGAATGTAGGATTAAAAAATAGAAAAAAAATTATGAATCAAGTGCAAAATTATTTTATTTGAATGTGTTGTTTAAAATGAATTTTAAAAAATCTTTAATAAATATGGGCTATACTCAACAAACTTTTAAACTTTAAAAAAAAAAAATTAGAAAAATGGAAAAAATTAGGATGAGCTTTCAAACTTTTCATGTAATATAGTTTTGGGTCAATATAGTTCAAATAATAATGCTATTTGTAACAATCTACGTACTGATTCTCAGTTTGTGTAGAATGATGTGAACAATTTTATCCCTTTTTGACACTACTAATTCTCAGTTTTGTTCCCATTATCTTTCACCAGATCATCATTCATCACGCTCGCAGAAATGAGAAATGGTTAAGAAATTGGAAAAAGCCAAACAATTTGTATAGTTGACAATCCGGATGATCGCACTCTCACATGGTCGACGTGAATTCCCCATAAATAAAATAATTTCGACCCCATGTGTGTATATTATCTCAATCATGTGGTCACCTGCGCGAGCTATGTAGCTCGATTCTAAGAAATTTGCTGTGAAATTTGTGTATAAATAAAAATTTGTTATAACTACACATTCATTATAAATGTGTAGTTAAAAAATAAAAGAAAAGTCATAAATTTGTGTGTAATATTATTTTTATGACGAATGTGTGATTGAAATTGGATGAAATCATTGCTGAAAAGTGCATTTTGATGGAAATTAATGGCTCAAACAAGGGTATAGTATATATATTTCGAGCTAATTAAATCATTGCTCACTAACATTTAGAATATGTTACTACTTGCCCATCCAAGATTAAAAGGTAACTCACTGCTCACTCACTTTTGTACAAAGTTACTCAACCATCATTCCATCTATCCACTTGGACAAAAATTTGCACTTGGTGGATGGAAATCTTACGTGGCCATTAACGGTGTTCAAAATTGATGACAAATCACATCCCACCAAACACGTTCTCTTAAAAATTGGAAGAATCGTTCTCCACCACCATCATCCCCACCATCACCTCCACCGCCTTATCACTGTATCCTGTAAGAGAAATCAAAATTAACGCAGAAAATGCAAATTTGCATTCAAAAACTTGAAAACTCTGAATTTTTCCGTTCTTTCTTTCACCAAATGCAAAATATTGGCTTCCTTCACATAAATTATCTGCCTGCTCAAAATTCCAATTTTAAGCTCAATGACTACACAATCTTGAGATAAAAACAGAGCCCAAATGACAAATTTGCAGTCTTGCAGTAAATGGACCGGAGAAAACCCAGGAAAATGAAGGGTAATTTCTAGAGAAAAAACAGAAAACAGGGCCTGAAATTCTTAGTCTTTAAGATCTGGGATTGTAACTAATCCCCACAAAATTCTATTTGCCTGTATGCAAATGAGTTTTACCTTCTTCGCACCATATTCGTTGTGAAAACCAAGTGGCAGAGAAAGAGAAGAGTAGTTTACAGGAAGTTTTATGAATAGAGATTAGAGACCATAGTCAGGGTGCAAGCGCTTGAGGAAAACAGTAATGGATGCTGCTGCTTCTTTCTATCCTTGTTATCGTCTTCCAACACCACTTTGGAGTGTATAAAATAAAGAATTTTTCCCCATGTGTCAATTTTCAACGGCCAGGTAAGATTTTCTATGCCACATGTATTTTTTTGTCCAAGTGGATGAATGAAATTAACATTGGTGATGGATGGGTAACCTTCTACAAAAGTGAGTAAATAGTCAGTTACATTTTATTCTTGAGTGAGCAAATAGTAACCTGATCTAAATGTTGGTGAGCAATGGTTTAATTAACTCTATATATTTCCATAGTTTAGTTCTAGGAGGGATGTTGGTTATTTTGTTCCCTCAACCAGCAACAATTGCTAGTGCTATTATTCGAAATCCGTTTTTCTTTGTTATTTGTGATTTTTAAAATCTTTGTACTGTAAAAACGTAAAGGCTTGCTTGCTTCTTCTTATTTGCTTGCTTGAGGAGTTTTGGATATGTCGCGAAGCGGCATCAGGAGGGCACTTCCATGGATGACATCGGTCCTCGAAAAATCCCTTCTTTTAAAAGGTGGGGTTAATGATAAAAACAATTTTGTGTTTAATTACCCTGGCAATTGATAAGTTTGCTGATTGTGGTTTTGATTATTGATTTGGTTTTGATAGTTTTAAATTTTGTTCAGATTTGGTATGATTGGGAATTAGTAAGGGTGGTTTTGGATTGAGGTTAGAAGGAGGGAAACAAAATTGCTTCTGACAGTTTATCTAGTGTGGATGAAGGAAACGTTTAGGGATTTGCTGTTTAATTAATAGGTAGTTTGTGAATGAGGTTTTCTGGTCAGAATTTCAGATTAGTTGATTGTTATTTTCCGTTTATGGGATACTAATGAGAACTGAAACTGATGCTAAAAAGTATATATAGCAGAAATAGAAAATACTGAGAATTAGAAATCTACTTACTATTTGTTAAATGGTGAAAGCTACACCAGTTTAAAGTACGAAAATAAACGAGAAGGAAAAGAAGGGTGCGGTTGGTTTAGTTTTCCATTTTCCATTTTTGGTTTCAAAACGATTCTTAGTTTTCCCCGAAAAAAGCGGGTTTTGGGCGTTTTCCGTGCTTTGGGAATTTATAACTGAAAACGCTCAAAACGATAAAAAGTCATTTTGCGTTTTCAATTATAAATTTTAACTTGTTTTCGGAAATGCATTTTCAAAAATGACGGACCAAACACGTTTTCTACATTTTCGAAAACGAAAAACAGAAATGGCCTGAAAACGCCAAACTAACCGCAGCCTAAGTTTGTTCGACAAGATTCCAAGTGGACTGGTAACGCTTCTGTAGATGTATCTTGATCCCAGTTAACATAAAGGTCGAAAGGACATGTTGAACAATTGTCTAAAGTTTCAGCCCTAATCAAATGCATTAAGAAATGTTATAGGGGAAAACCTAAATTGCCACAAACAATTTGTTTGGATGGTCATGAGTACTGGAAAAGTGGAACATTAGCAATGGCTACATTGGGGAGAGTTGAATCTATAGATTTTAAGAGTAGAGAATTCTAACAACTGTAGTTTTCAAAGATTCACTCACGTTGTTGCATTGGAATTTGATACCGATACTGGGTATTTTCTCATAGTGTGGTACTGGAGGTAATGAACTCACAGAGATTGCAACATCTTATGGAACCAGTTCTGGAGCCCTTGATTCGCAGAGTTGTAAGTTCATGGCCTTGATGATACTGTATTAATGTCTACTTTTGACACTGTATTGATAAATTGTTTTCTTAATGATTGAAACTAACTCTAAATTTAGGAAAAGAAGAAATTATGTTGTAAAATATAAGTTGCTTCAGTCAGAGTGGATTCCTTACAAGAAGGCAAGAACACATTTTTGTGGTCTCTAGTCCATTTTTCTCTTAGATTAACAGCCATGAACACAATGACTGTCACAGCATTCGCAGGCCTGAAGACCAAATCCTATGACATCCTATGACATGTCATAGGATATAAGCATTTACTCCTACGTGTTTAACCATTATATATTGTTTGTAAAAGTACTTTCTTGGTAATAAACTTAATTGGGGAGACGGCATGCCTCCCATTTTCAACTAGGCCTTTTATATAATTGTACAAACAACTTGTGGAAATTGAACTTATGTGTGCATGCATATTCAACTAAAAAATCCTACGACTCGTTATTTTTTAGGTAGCTGAGAGCACACTTAAGCTGAATTACTCTGTCCAAAACGTTTTGTTTGGACTGACATGTGCATGACTTCTATTAGAGGACCACCCATGTAGTCTTTTTGGTAGTTCTGGTGTTTTCTTAAATACAACAATCAGTGATGGATTCCTCTGTGAGCTTACAGGTGAAAGAGGAAGTTGACTCAGCATTAAAGAAGTACCTGATCAGCATGAACCGGTATGGCGTTAGGTTCTAATGGTAAAAGTAATAAGATTAAAAATATGGGAGACTTTCCTTATAGTTTTGCTAAATTCATTGCTGGAATACTCTATGATGAGCGCTCTACACTCATAATATTTATGCCACATAATTTGTTATTTTGTTACTCTTGAGAGTGTTTTAGAGCTTTTTATTGTGTGTTTTGATATTGTGATGTAGGTTGATGAAATTGAAAGAAATAAGCAAAAGTTGGTGAAATTGTAGAAAATTGCCAAATTGTAAGAGATCCAAAGTTCGGGGACTGAAACGCAAATATTGAAAAGTTGTGTTGAACCTCGCAATGAAGATCCGAGCGTCAAAATATGATCATAAATCAATTTCCAACCGAAAAGTTGTGCTCCGGAATTTCAACCTTACATTGAGACTCATTTTTGACATAGCAAATGATCGAAGCGGAGAATAATATCTGAAGAAAATTTGTACCCCTTTGAGTTAGCTTTTTAACGAGTTTTGAATCACCTCAATTGGACATCGGACGAGAAAGTTATGCGAAAAATACTGAAAGATGCGCAGAAGGAATTTTCCACCCGAATCGGGCGCCGCAGCACCCATGAATCTGAATTTGACAGTAAGGGTAGCGCTACAGTAAGGGTAGCGGGGAAACGTATTTTGATATTTTTGGACTCCTTTCTCGGCCCATTCCAATCCAAAATCGTCCAACACTTGAGGAGACTATAAATACTACCTAAAAGACCTAATTAAGAAGGGGGAGAACGAGCAAGGAAAACTGGAAGCAACGGCAAGAACACGTGACTGGAAAGAGGAGTTTAGCCGGCCAATTACAAGAATCTTTAAGGGGACAATCTGGAGACAAATCCAAGGGGATTCCAGCTAGCCAATTGCAAAAATCTGGAGACAAACCCACGGCTGTTCAATACAATTAAAGAATAGAAATTTAATTGAGAGAATTTGACAACAATGGAAGAAGAAATCGAGCAGTAAAAACGAGTTTTTCTATTCCTTTTCTTCTCTATGTTCTTTCTTATTAATTTATTCATGTCAATTCCTTTAATTATGCACTAAATTTTAATCCTAGGGTATGATGTAGCCTACTTTAGACATGTTTGGATTCCGTTTTAATTATTTCAATTGACCTTTCCATTTATTTATTTATGTTGTTTGTGAGCAATGCTTTCAATTAACTGGACACTAATTGATTAATTTGATGTTCTAAATTTTGGCGCTTGAGAGAAGCAAATTTAGGCGTGATCCAAGACAACATAACCTAGATTTCGTAGGTTTCGAGAGAAAGTGCGAATCTTGGAGGCATGTTTTAAATTAAGAACCACAGGCTTGATAATTTTTATATTTTTAATTCGGAATAGAGATATTGGAATTGAAATATAAAAATAGATTTTATTTGGCGCTCGAAAGAGGGAAATAGAATCAATTTAGCATTCTTGCTTATAAATTTTGGAAAGATTGATAGAAATAGTTATACGGTTGAAAAATATTGTCGAATGTATGATGAAATCATTCCCTAGGCATTCATAATTTGATAAGAAACTTCATAATTTGCCCTCGTTTACTTGCATCGTTCATCTTATTTAATTTTAATTTAGCATAAAAAACATTGACAAAATTTGATCGTCTAAATAAAGGGAAAACTAAAATAATTATAGTACTCAATTGATTCGAATATCAATCCCTGTGCGTTCGACATCCTAACTTCTTTACTATATTACAAAACTTGACACCATACACTTGCGGTTTAAAAATCACGTTGCATAAATCTTTTGGCACTCTAGTACCTTCTTAGGAATTATGAGAAAGATTTACGTCCTTCTGAATCAAGGAGTTTGCAATTATGTTTCGTAAATGCTATATCTCTTCCAGCATTTACCGGAAGCCGTATTGAAGGAGAAGAATGTATCAATCTGAAAGTAGCTTTAGTTGATTATCTTACAGGGAAAGTTGTTTCCAGTGGTCCGGAATGCTCTGCAAATGTAGAAATCATAGTTCTTGAGAGAGATTTTGATGGTGATGAAGGAGACAATTGGAAACTTGAAGAATTTAAGAGTAATGTAGTAAGACAGCGGGGGCAAGGGTTCAGTAGGTGATAGCTTGTTTACAGATAATTCAAGCTGGACAAGAAGTCGTAAATTCAGGTTGGGGGCCAGAGTTATGGACAACTTTGATGGAATCAGAATAAGAGAAGCGAAATCAGAGTCCTTCGTTGTCAGGGATCACCGTGGAGAATGTGAGTTCTTCTATTATATTTTCCCCATGTTTATAATTTATTTCTAGAAATGTTGAATGACGTGGAATAATGTGATAATTTGTGAAATTACTCCCTTACAGAGTATAATGCTTCCGTTAATAGTGATACTGTAATTCATAACATTCTTGTTAGGTAGATGAGAAAGTTTTTATATAAGCATTTTCATCTGGAATACAGATGTATATTACAATCAGTTTTAAGTTCTAACACTGAGTTTCTTGTCATATTATTATTGAACATTCTTATTTCCTATTGAACATGAATTGATTCTATTTTGGCCATGCGCACACACTTCAGCCTCTCTCTCTCTCTCTCACACGCGCGCGCGCACACGTTAAATTGAAATTTGTCCATCTTGTCATTTTCTTTTGACTTTCATCTGTTTGGTCTTCAGATTTAGTGTGCTAGAAGGTGTTCTCTAGTGTCATAATTTCTGTCCATTTAACTTCTGTTTTCCCCCTAGAAATGATCTCAAAAAGTAATTCGATTAATCATCAAATTGTACTCCCCTTTGTTCCATTAATATGATGTCCGCTAAATGGTTTCTTGTAATGTTCTGTTATTTATGACATTTCCAATGGTATTGTAGTGTTTGATTTTGATCCTCCTTGTTTAATTATTTTTAACAATCAGATATATCTCTTACTTTATGTGTCAGTTCAATCTGAATATTGTGATACGAAAAAGAAATGGTAAGTTATTAGCATAACGCTAGTTCATTGGGAAGAAATAGTAAGTTCATTTGGAACTTCTGATCTTTGGTTCATGTCATTCGTGCTTAGTAATGAATATATAATATGCCAGTGAGACCTACTAAAGTGGCAAATGCTTAGGCCTGAGAACCACGCTCATAGATGCATTTCTCATCAAAATATAGAAATGTTCTATACAATTTGTCATAATTAATATTTCTATTGTGCAAGTAATATTGGTTTATGCTCTTGGTTTCCTAGTGATAGCAGAATCATTGGAGTTAGAGTTGGATATTTGATGCTCGGGATTCCCATTATAACACAAGCCATATTAATTTTCGTCTACCTAACCCTCTTCCAACTTGTTTCATTTGAGATTGTGTCACTTTTATGAACCAATGCACCTTTACGTTTCTGATATACATGAAAATGGTTGTCAATATTCATTAGTAACTCATGAAACTCAGAACTATATTGATTTGAAGACTAGTTAGATCTGCTTAACATTTAGATCGGAGTGATAGAAAAAATGTTTGATATGATAATGTTGATTTACGTTTTTCCCCTGTAAGTGTACAAGAAGCACCACCCTCCATTCCTTTCTGATGAAGTATGGGGACTGGAAAAAATTGGCAAAGATGGAGCTTTTCACAAACGCTTGAGAAAGGAAAGAGTAAACACCGTTCGGGACTTTTTGCTTTTACTCTTCCTAGACCCAACAAGGCTTCAAAATGTAAGCGTGTTAATTTTCTCTTGTATTTACAATGAATAATTACATATGCCATACCATAACTTTTTGTTGATGTTGTGTATACATTTACATATGCAGATCTCACTGGCTTTAGTGGGCCCTGGCTTTGTTACAAATTTAATTATTTCAGCGTACTTGGAAATGTTGAGAAGTCATTAGGGTTCTCTCGCTGCGTATATTAGAATCTGATTAGAGGAGTTATTCATTTTGCACAACAAATATGGACTTTGGCCTTTTATTTTATGGGAGACTGATAGAAAGACAAATCCAGTATTAATACAGTAGTTTGTTGGTGTCCCAGCATACTTAGTCTCCTATTGAGTGTGTGTGTGTGTGTTCAATTCTTCCTCGTTGTTATGCTTTACCAACTTGATGACTTCATCCATATCTATGGATTAAATCACAAAGAATGTCCTGATCTTAGGAATAGGAAGCGTTAGAGCGATTGCATAAAATTTGAATTAAGTTCAGCGTCTATAATTTTGTACTGTTAGTTATTTATGGGATAAGAATGATTAACGTGTATCTAACTTTAGGTAGGGAAGCAATCCTTAAGAGAATTATTTACATTTGTGTATTAAATAATATTAACCGTTCATATGTATCCTACAGATTCTAGGGACAGGTATGTCTGCTAATATGTGGGAAGTTACAGTGGAGCATGCTCGGACATGTGTTCTTGACAAGAAATTGTATTTGTACAATGCTTCTGTATCTCAGCAGAAGAATGGCGTCGTTTTCAATGTAGTAGGACAAGTGCTGGGGCAGTTCTCGGGCCGCCAGTATATTCCTGCTGATAAGCTGTCAGGAGCAGAAAAGGCAGGCTTCTCTTATTCCTTCTACTTCTCACCTTTTTCTGAGTTTACCTTCCCAGGGGTCATGTCATTTTTGCCTTTTCTGTATAAAACAAAAGTAATGCTCTGAGTGAATTTCACTTTCTTATCATCTGTGTTTCAGGCTGATGCACGTAACCTGGCAATTTCTGCATACAGAGACTGGGAGAAAGTTATGACTTTTGTTGATGAGCCCTCTCTCATGGATGCCTTAACGTGTTCAACCACTTTTCTGTCTTCTTCAAACCTGCTGCCAGAGAGTTCTTGTAAAATTGAGAGGCGTGCTTATTCACAACAGAATCCCTCTTCACCGGATATTACAAAATCAGTATATTCCATAGGAGGTATGAGTAGCTTGGATGATTACTTTCACAGCATTGACCGTACATATACTAGGCTTGACAAACCTTTGGGTTTCCTGGGTGAAGTTGCAAACGTCTCATGTGACGCAGATTCCATGACTCGAACATCCTTTGCAAATGAGCATTTGCGTTATCTCAATACAGGTTGTTCACTTCAGAGTTCAATAATTGAATCATCAAATGTTACTGAGTACTGCAAGTTGTTTTGTCCCCTACACAGCAATTCCTATTGACAAAGCTTAGAGGAGATGGGAGTATATTATCCAGTGTATTGAAATGTTTCATAATATTCAGAACTGTGGTGAAAAAAACCGGTTTTCGAAACATACCATGATATTGTTAACAGAGACCTTCGAATTTGAACAGTTAATGTTGCAAAAGCAACAATGGTACCAGGATGAAGCACTGCCCAACAGAGTATTGAAGTTATTGTGGATGTCTATGCAGCCTCCTGTTTGTGGAGGAGTAAGATGCGCTTTTTTCTCCGGGAAGTCGGTGGACACACCCCTCAAAGGTACAATGTGAAGCTGTAAATTTTAGTTTCATTTAGTTGTCCAGTGTTGATGTAGGTAGGACTCCATTTTATGTAAAATGACAACTTTCTAGTGAGGACTTTATGCGACATTGTGCATTTACTAGAAACAATGAAAAAGTCTCACCATTGACGGTGGAGATGGATAGGGCACGAAGTAGGGGAAATAAATAGTGATATGATTTTTGTTGCACTTCCTTCTTGAAGGTTAAGGATCGAAGTGAGACACAGTTAGAAGGTTCGGGACACTGATGCTATTTTCGCTGCAAAGGAGCCCTTCGTGTAGGCCCATCTCCAAATAGTCACAAAAGTAAAAAATGGGCAGCGTTTTAAGAGACTAATCATGCTATAATGCACAGTGTCTTGATATAATTGATATAATGTCACATGATAACCTATCATTGGACGGTTTAAAATGCAATCAGTTTTTTCATCCGATCATATACTATCACACATTTGTCAACCTTTCTGTCACCTTCTGACAAAGTAGATTAATCCTTGAAAGATATATGTAGCAATCTAAAAGTTTCTTTCAGATCCAATCAAATAAGGAAAGTTCTTGTTGGCGATGTTGAGGATTTGAGCACTATCCATTCCCGAAGAATTTCAAGATAAAATTTGTAATAAAATACGTAAGCAATTAAATTTTTTCTTCATACAAAGAACGAGCTCTAAAAGCTTATATCTAAGATTATGTACACAATTAATACGGATGGGTTATAAAATCATAATGGCTGAGTTTCAATTTGCCAAAATAGGATGATTGTTATGGTGATTAGTCCGGTGGCGCAGCAGTGGGCAGTGTTGCTAGGGTTTGGCTGTGGAAATCTATCTTGGTGTTTGGAACGGTAGGCGGATAGGAAAGAAGTATTTTTGCAAGTAAAATCCCGAAAATAATGATGAAGTATTTTCCAATTTTCTGAGGAAATAGCATACAAACTAATTATCTCAGGGAATTTTAGTTACAAGAACATGCCCTGCCTGCCAAGGGAGATCAATAAGGTAGTGATTGATTTCCATTTTCATTTCAAAACGATTTTTAGTTTTTCTGAAAACGGTCCGTTTTCCGCATTTTGAGCGTTTTGACAATTTATAACTGAAAATGCTCAAAATAATAAAAAATCATTTTGCGTTTTCAGTTATAAATTTTAACTCGTTTTCGAAATTCGAAAACGACGGATCAAACGCGTTTTCCGTGTTTTCGACAACGGAAAACGAAAAATGACCCGAAAACGGCAAATCAATCGCACCCTAAATGATCCAGTCCAAGCCAGCAAATGATCACATCGATTATTCACTCTTTATTTTCACATTTATCATTCTGTATCTTATTCTGCATCTAACTTGTGCCTTTCCCCACTGTAACTCTCTCATCCAAAGCTTCAGGTTTCTTAAAAGAGGGACACATGATCACAACAACAGCATCAGGACCAACTCAAATGTATAGCCAATGTCACAATATAAGTACGGAAAACCATGAAATAAAGAAAAAAAGAAAAACAAACAAGATTGTCAATCAGTTAAGATACAATTTCGTTTCTTCCAGACTTAGCATAACCCTTACAATTTCCTTTCTTCCAGACCTAGCATAACCCTTACCTGCTGAAAAATTAATTTGCCGATAAGATAATGTGACAAGGATAATCAAAATAGGCCAAAATGTAAGCATCTATGTCAAATGAGACAATGCGAGTGTAGTAATAAACCAAAGCATCATAAAGTAGGCCAACAAGGAAATCAGCATAATGGAGAAAAAAGAATTATTGTAGCCCAGATGTAGAGCTCGAACCATCACAATAGTCTGTACATGATTTCTTCCACTTTGTATGCGATCGGGTAGTTGCTTTCGCACCTTTCCATTGGATGAAGCAGTTCACTTATCAAGGGCACCAAGTGCTTTCATGTCCTCCAAAAATGCCATGTACGAGTCATCAATACTCTGTGGCTTTGGTGCAGATGATGAACTACTGGATTCTTGCCTCACGACAGGTGCAGCTGCAGGTGGCCTGTTGGTTGCCATGGTAGTCGTTGGCTTCGCCTTTGGTTTTGGGAGCACAGACTCTCTCCTGACTCGTACAGATGCAGGAACCTGCAGAAAAAGCATGAAAAAACTTCAGTACAGAGAGGTTGTGTTACTAGCCTGCATAGAACCAAGACTCTAATTCCTCAGAAGGGGGGAGAGAGAGAGATATAGAGCGCTCGCGCATATCGATTGTTGCTTGACCTTGCAGGTTTCCATTCACACCCTTGATCAAGTTTAAAATAATTTATACCACAAATTATGAGGGTGCATAAAATACAAATTTAATTATCAGAGAAACTGAATGATAACTTAAATGATAAAATCTATTAATTTATAATTCTCTGTCGCTAATCAGTATAAATGAAGTATTTCTATTACTCGAGAAATTATATGGCTTCCAGTTTTAATGCTTGGCTGATAAAAATTGAATCAGATACCTCAATTATTCCTTGCATAAAATAACAAAATTGAAACATCTAATTTGATAATTTTGACAAGAAAAACTGTGACATGGTAAACTACCCAGTGTCATTCAATTAGCCCAAGAATGGCTCATATAATGTGCAAAGAGATGGATGAAGAGTCGTGAAACAGGAAAAGATAGGAGAGAGTTGCAGTTCCATATAAATGAGTTTCCCTTCACCCCCTAAGAGCATCTCCAAGAGACTCTTTAAATACATAATGCTCTCTATTTTAGAAATTCAATGCTTAAAAATGAGCTTCAAAAGACTCCATATTTTAACTTTTTAAAGTAGAGAATGTGTTTTGACTCTCCAAATTTAGAGAGCCAAACTCACTCTCTATTTTTCATGTACAATGATTGCATTTATTACATTACAAATTTCAATACTCTATAATTTAAAATTTTCAAATTACATTTGAATTTATTGGTCATTAATATATAAAAAAAACATATTTAAATAAAATATGTGGAGAAATTATTAAATGTTCATTGAGAAAAACAAAATAAATAATCAAAATAGAGAG